AAAAAAAAAAGAACAGGGAAACTTACCCCCAGATATTCAGTGCCAGTTCCCTTTTAGTTTATTTTAGGGCAGTGAAATAACTGTGAGCTGGAGCTGTAAGAGCTGATGGACAGGAACAGGGGAAGATTTTGCAAGGCCTCCAGGCAGCAAGAATTGCTGTGGAGGTGGAAGGATGAGCAAAAGGAAGCTGGGACAGCATGAACATTTCGGGTGTATCTATGATTAAAGCGAGCTGCAGCAATTATGTAAGATCCCTGTGACGTGCTCACAGTTGTGTGCAGGGTTTGATCGTGTCCCCAAACCTGGGGGTTTGCCCAGGACTTACATTTTCCTCGTTTTCCCCGTATGGCTCCTCGGCGTTGTGTTCCAGTTCTCGTTTCTTCTCTTCAGTCAAATCTTCCTGGACCTACAAAGCAGGGAGATGTTCTCTGTGGTTTAATGTCCTTTTAGAAAGTGGCCTGTGGCACAGCTGTGCTCATTTTCACAGCACTGCTTTTGCAGGATGAAGATTTTAAAGGAGGGAGGAGAGTGGCGTTGGAGAGGTTAAAGGAGGATAAAAATCCCCCAAACACCCAACAATCAGCAAACCCACTCCCTCTGAGAGCATCTGACTTTCTTCTCCAATTCTCACAGAGCCTCTCATCATCACCCCACACGTTTAGCCTTCCATTCCATGCTTTAACTGTACACAGATATTACTTTCTCCTTGTGTTTCATAGTAGGATGTTGTGTCATGATGCACCAAAAGAGCCTGACACTTCCACCCCACCGTGGACTCCCAGAACTATTTCACTTCTGCCATGCAATGCAGGTATTTAATGGTAACTCTGGCCAAGCTCTCCCAGAATTTGAGGGATCCTTCTGCCAACTGCTCCTGGAAAACCACAAAGGAGCAACTGGGGCATCGGGAGCAAAGAACAATCTCTTCCAAGCTCTATCCTTGGAGAGAGCAGGTCATGCTGAATCTGCTTCCCAGATGTTCAGCTCTTGGATCTCTCACTTCTTTCTGTTCTGTCAGCGCTCTCCCTCAACTCCATGTGCCACTTTCCCTGTTAGGTGCAAATGTGAAAGAGGAATGCTTTCTGTAGTAAACCTGATTTTCTTTGGGAGGATCCTGTTATGCTGTCAGCCTCCTGCCTGACTCCACCAACTGGAGGACCTTACACAGCTTGGATTGCTCAGGACGAGCACCAATAAATCAAAGTCAGAGCTAAAGAGTGAGTGAGTGGCCAAGGAAGCAGTTTGCCCAGAACAGCAGTGTGTGATTAGAGATTAATGAGGTTTTCTGCGACCTTGAGGTTTCCAGGAATTTTTTTCTTGTGTTGTGAATGGCTTAATCTTTTCAATTATTGCCCAATTAACACTGTGTGGCATGCAAGACTGATGGATTGCATGAGAAACCCTGAATGTATCCAGAAGGGGACAGCAGAGTAATAGAAAAAGCCTTTCCAGGTTTGTTGAAGTCTGACAGAGTGATTTGGGTTCCTGCTGCAGTTATAAAGGATACCAAGGTTGAATGTTAATGGAGATGTGCTCTGCTACCCAAGTGCATATGTGCTTGAGGTCTGTGTTCTTACCTCCTCTTCCCCCTCATCCTGGTATTGCTCATCCACATTATCTTCCTGCTGGTCGGGGTTGCCTGCCATCTGCACAAAGATCACAGAACAAATTCAGTTCTAGTGCATTTCCACTAACTTTAGAAGACCGAAGATTAAAGCTTCTTGTTCTGGAACTAAAACTTCATGTAAAGGTAAAACAACAACAGTGGCCTAAGAAGTTTGAGGTCCTTCATTAGCAGCAGTGAGAGCCTGGTTACGTGATTTAAAACCACCCTCAGTTGAAAAGCAGCAGGATGATTACAAGAAAAATCCCTTCCCAGAACACAGCAAGACCTTCCATACTAAGCAGGAAGACAGTGCAATATTCACACCATTAAAGACCAAAGCCATAACAATGCAGATTGTCTCTGTCTGGAGGAATTTACAGCTTGAACAGGGTTGAAATGTGCAGCATTTGACCTCCTGAAGAGGCCCTGGGGGTTCCTCCTTTCCCTTTACTGACCACCAAGTGCTCTTCCATTGCCGGATGTCCTTGTTTCTCACTGGCTTCCTTGTGCTTTTCGTTTTCATCTGGTAGGTTTTCTTCTCTCTCTTGCTCAGCTTCCTCGAATTCATCTTCTCCCTGATTGTTGGGGTCATCAGCAGGATTCACATCTTCCATGGCTGCCTTCTGCAATTTTCAGAAGTGAATGTTAAACACGTATTTTTTAGCTCATGGACAAATTCCATTTCCCTTGAAGGCTACACTAGCACGAGCTGTGCTAGAACCAACTCCATCCCCACTGACACCAGCTGGAATCTCTGCAGGATCAGGGCTCCCTGGATCAAAGCACCTCAGCACTGAGCAGAGACTGAGCAGAGTGTCTGTCTGCTAAAAACCAGACTGAATCTGATGACCTGTTTCACAGAGGTTGTTGAACAACTTTTGTTTACTGGCTATCTGACAACTGGCAGCACCTGATAAGGCCAGGTGAACAAAGATAAGGGTTTAAATGCTCCTGGCTCCAGAGAGCTGATGGGGATCCTTCAGTACCAGACTGTCCTGCACTGTTGACCTCGTCCATGTCTGTAATCAAACAAAACAACACTCACCTTTCCTCTTTGCCATCCAGAAAAGGGGCATTTTCTTTCTGCTTATCATTCAGTAAGGGCAGTTCTGTGTCTTCACAGCTAACAAGTTAAAGGTCCTCTGGAATTATTTACTATACACCCTAATCTGCTGAAGAGGAGTAAAGAAAACACCCTTGATGTTCCTGAGCAGCAGGTGAGATGGGGTCTGGGGGAAGGCACAGGACTGACTCTGCTGCACCCAGGTCTCTGTGCAGTCAGTTCGGTGCTCACCTCCATCCTCTTCCAAGACCTCACAGCTCTGCATTGACTCCAGCTGGTCTCAGTGGCTCTTGAGTTGGCTCTTACCCTCTTAACTAACAACAGCATCAAAAACACCATCTCAGCTCTTTTTGACTGACCACCATGTTATTTTTTTGAGGCCAAATTTACCTGTTCAGTTCCCAGCTAAGTCCAAATTCTTTATTCCACCTAAAGCGCAGATCAAAGGAATGTGGAAATCAGCAATTTGCTTCCAACAAGGAAGCTTCTTTTTGATTTCCTCCCAGATCAATAAGGACAGCTTTAAATAGATTTTAGATGTTGTTCTAAACTGTCA